GGGTTTAGGCTTTAGGGTTGAGGGACTGCTGCCGAATTCCCAACCCCGTGGAGCTTGGAACGAAGCCGGTCAGGTGCAGGGATTCGGAGTCCAGGGCGTAGGATGTCCGGACGCTGCTAGCGCAAGAAGATAGCGTTTCGGTCTTGCTGAACAAAGTCCTGCGTTGACCATACAGCCCTTCAGATCCGAAAAAACCGTTGGCCTTCAAATCGTTGAGCAGTGATCTCCGCCGCTTGCACGACCTCGAGCCCAGGGGATATCCCCAGCGGCAGTAGCAGCTGTGCACAAGCAGCGGAGAGCGAAGCGTCCACATCTCAGCTCTGCTTTCGATATGGCGAAGGGTTGTCCGGGTCTGAGATTCTAGCTCTCGTGGTGTTAGTCATGCTTTGACCAGGTGAGATGTTGTCTGCTTATTTCTTCATTCTCGCAGGAATAATCTAAATCCCGAAGCCTGAACCTCAACAAGAAATGCAATCCAAAGCCCGACGCCGCACTGTCGTCATTGTCCGTGAGAAGCCAAAACCTTTTTGGAACTTCAGGTTGGTTAATTGCTAGCGGACAGTAAGCCCGAACTCGATTTACGGCAAATTTCTTTAAACACCCAGCCCCTAAGCCACCCTAAACCCCAAGCCGAAAACCGAGGGTTTGGGTTGTTGGGTTAAGGAAGGTGACACCAAAGGATCAAGCCTCAGACGCCCTGTGCCTGTCATCCGTCATATACAAGTCCTGGGCTTCAACTGTTTTACCCCAGGCCGGAAATCCAGAAGCCCTTAACCCTAAAGTAAAGCAAAAAGCATAAATCGCAAAGCCCATATCCCAAAGCCAACAAATGCTAAACCCTAAACCTTAAACCCTAAACCCGAAACCCTTAACCCTATCCCTAAAGCCTGAACTGCAAATGCTCCACGCTACGGCGGTACGGGAGGCCGGCGCTCTTCTGCCCAGCCTCACAGTGAGTTTCTGAGCTCCAGTCCTTCCTTCGGTTAAGTTCATGTTCAAACTCAGTAAAGTCGGGAAATGCCGATGTCGGTGGTGGTGGTGCTGGTAGTAGTTGTAGTAGTTGTGGCAGTGGTAGTGGTAGTGGTGGTGGTGGTAGCAGCAGCAGCAGCAGCAGCAGTAATTCGTAGCAGAAGCAGAGCCTTACAGTAGCCTCAAGATCGAAATGTCCTGACGATTGGGGGAAGCCGTGGTGTTTGGCGGCTGGGCGTCTAGAGGAGAGTTGGCTTTTGCAGCTTGACGCTGTGGTGAACGGGTTCATGGCAGTCTATGGGTCTCAACCACAAAGGAATTTGGACTTCAGCTCCTCTGTGCTCCTAGGGCTGTGCCCCAGCAGCTCAGCTTCCGTGCGCGCCACCTATGGCAGGGCGATGGGATCCGAAAAGCCACAGGGCTGAAGGGTCCATGGTTGTCAAAGTGAAGCAACTGGTTGAATTCAAGGAGTTGTGGAGGATTTTTACTCGGAGTTTAGAGTGTAGGGCCCCTGATAGGATATTGAGCTTGTTTTCGACCTGCGGTGCCTATGGCCCGCAGTCGAGACACTCGACTGCGGTGTCCGCGTTGGCCCTGCAGCGCACCGCCCCACGCACGTGCTGAAGCTGACGGGCACAGAGCTTGTCGTTTCTTCTGCAGCTGCTTAGTGTTAGCCCGTTTTGGGTAGCGAAGCTTTTGATTCTGTAGCATGAAGCTTAATGTAAATGGGCGGAACCGGAAAGTTGAAGCTTCGTTTCAAGGAGCAAGCACAACATTCCTAAGCTTCATAGCCATCGTTACAGTATAAGCCGTTGAAAGCAGTAGTACCCATATAGCACAAAAAAGGCCTCGTGCTTCGTTTGCTCACCAGCAGCTGGCAGTGTTATGGTTTGTGGCTTCTGCAGGTGGGTCTCAAGCCGGATCCCTGATGTGCCCCTCATGACGACAATAGGGTGAGTGTGAGATGCATTTGGTCTACTGACTGCATTTGTCATGTGCTTCCTGATTTCGGTTCGTTCCAGTATCAAAGCTACGATTGGTGTTGTTGCTTCTTTCGTATTTCAAGTTCCTCTTTGCCGTTGCTGTGTCAACTACAGCTAAGTCTCAACTACCACAGCAAGAATTACCACAACAGCAACACCACAGCAGCATCGGCGGCAGCAGCAGCAACAGCGACAACCACGATCGCTCCTGCTACCGTGACCACTACCACTACCGCGGCCAATTCCACTGCCATTACCTCTGCAACTGGCAGCATGACTATGACTACCACTACCGACAACGACGACTGCCGCCAATACCTCGGCGACGGCGACGACCAGTTCCACTACCACTGCGACTGCCCCCACTCTCCTCCCCGCCCCCGGCCCAGAATTTATGCTACTTACGCACTTACGTACTTACTTACTTGCTTGCTTGCTTCCTTCCTTACTTACTTGCTTGCTTGCTTGCTTCCTTACTCACGCACTTACTTACGTACTTACTTACGTACTTACTAACTAACTTACTAACGTACTTACTAGCTACCTTACTTCCTTCCTTCCTTGCTTGCTCTCTTGCTTCCTTGCTTGCTTGCTTGCTTACTTACTTACTTACTTACTTACTTACTTACTCACTTACCGAGTTACGTACTTACTTGCCTATTTACTTACTTACTAGCTTACTTACTTACTAACCAGCTATTACTATTACTACTACTACTACTACTACTACTACTACTGCTACTGCTACTACTACAACGACGACGACGACTACGACGACGACGACTACTACTACTATTACGACTACGACGACGACTACCACTACCACTACCACTACCACTACCACTACCACTACCACTACCACTACCACTACCACTACCACTACCACTACCACTACCCCTACCGCTACCACTACTACTACTACTACTACTACTACT